GTGTGTGTTCTGGATATTTCTACTTTCTGATCTCCTCATGTCTCCGGGGAATACAATCCTTGTGGCATTTTCTCCCAAAAAAGCTTTTTGCTTCTGGCTGTCCTCGAGGCTCCTTTTAACTGCCCTACAAAGAAGAGTTTGAGTATGCCAGAAGCCAGGCCATACATTGAGCCAGGCTATAGTTGCTTTCTGAGCAAACTGCTTCTTCTACCCATAATTCAAGAGAGGGTCATAGTCCATGCTAGTGACCTGATGCCCTGGTCAGAGAGAACACAGCGTCTACATCATCACAGACATTTGTAGACTTGGGAAGGCTGGGGAGCCAGCATTTTGGGTTCCCTTCTGGTTGCTGGAGCAAGATGTGTGGGGGTGTTACGTGCATGTGGGTGGAGGTCAGCACTGCCAGAGTTCTCAAGTGTCCTCAACTGTTTTGTTTTTTAATTTTGAGACATATTCTTGGGTATTGCTTTTTACTGACTGATCGGTAAGCCTGAAGGACCTTCTTTCCATCTCCCCAGCACTGAGATTATAGACATGCACCACCACTTGGCTTCTTATGTGTGACCAACAGAACTATTTCCCCAGCCCCTGGAGCAGCACTTAACCATATCTCAACGCTATCCTTTTGATCGCTCTGTTGTTCCTCCTATGAAAATGTCTGACTGTGTCCGTTTCCCATGCGTCTTGGGTTTTCCTTTGCTGTGAAGAGACATCGTGACTATGTCAGCTCTTATAAAGGAAAACTGATCACGGTGGGAAGTGTGACAGCACGTAGGCAGTTACTATACCAAAGGAGCTGAGAGTTTTACATCCAGATCTGCAGAGAGCAGGAAGCAAACTGGCTTGAGCTTTCAGAGACCTCAAAGTTCAACCCCCCAAGACACGCCTCCAACAAAGCCACACCCAATAGTGTCGTTTCTTATTGGTCTATGCGGCTCATTTTTATTCAAACCAGCGTACACTGTGTAAAATGATCTAGACACTGAAGACCTGGCTCAGCAGTTAAATATACCCGCTCTGTAATTATGAAAGCAGGTTCAGATCACCCCAGCACTATTTGGGGTATCCCTACAAATAAGTACTTCCTGGTGAGTAAAGACAAGATCACTTGAGCTTGCTCTTTCCCCCGGCGGGGGGGGGGGGGAGCTCAAAGGTTAAAAGTACATACTGCTCTTACAGAGAATCCAAGAGGGGTTCCCAGGATCCACATAGCTCCCAACCATCTGTAACTTAACTCGAACGGATCTTCCACTCTTTTGAACTCTGTGTATACATACTGGCACTTAGGTACATATACGCACACGAAGACATCTTAAACACGTTCCATGTTCAGGTATCAGGCCTGCCTCAAAGGAGTAAGCAATAAAGTACATCCAATGCCCTTGTCTGCAAACATTCAGATGCATGCACATGTGCACATACGCTCGCCACACAAATATCTGTAAAAGATAAAGGAACTATGTAGAATAGTTTAAGAAACATCAAGCAGGGCGGGGGGTGGCACACGCCTTTAATCCCAGCATTTGGGAGGCAGAGGCAGGTGGATTTCTGAGTTTGAGGCCAGGCTGGTCTACAGAGTGAGTTCCAGGACAGCCAGGGTACACAGAGAAACCCTGTCTCGAAAAACCAAAAAAAAAAAACAAAACAAAACAAGGACAGGAGGCTTTTGTAAAAGCACACCTATAGTACATATGGAAACCATTACCCTTAGACCTCCGTATGGGTTCTTTTAAAACGAGTGAATGTCCATGTGTCTTAAGTCCGTTTTTTGTTGTTGTTGTTTTGCTGCCTTGTATTCTGAGGTTGCAGCATCCTTTCACATCAGTATGCTTGGCTCATGAAATATAGGCCTAAGTGTATCTAGTAAAGATCAGTAACTGAGGGGAAAGTACTCTTAAATACTTTACTTGCTGAGTACATAGTTTGCAGGGATTGACGCTTCTGGATGCTGGGCCAGCTATGTAGGAGGAAAAGAAATGCAAGGTAGTTATTCAACCCACTCTTCACTGTGTTTGGGGGTATAGCAAGCCAGATAGGATACAAAGTCATGTGTGTTGCTCATCTTGTGTAAGATCCAGATGTTGACTAACTGTAAAACTTAGGACATAGATGATTACACAATTAGAGGATAGTATCTGTTGAAGGTACCCAAGTAATCTTTATTGAGATACGCTCTTAAGTCCAGTTTGGCTTCAGACTCCCTGTGCTGGCTAGGCTGACCCTGAACTTGTAATTTCTTTGCCTCTGTGGCTCTAGAGTGTGCGCTGAGGTTGCAGGCTTACCCTGCCTTACTAAGTTTATGTGATGCTAGGGCTGGAGCCTACTGAGCATGTACCCTACCCAACACAGATCCCAAGCCCTGACGTGACTTAAACAAAATGAGTGGTAGCTATTGAGTCACTAGTATGTAGAAATTTGAATTTCCAGTCTTGGCTAACTAAAGAGGTTTTCACAGCTGACTTCAGCTGTGACCTCAGTTGGTGTGACTCGGTGCTAGGACACTTGCCTAGCGTGCACAAAACCTTGGTTTGACTCCACCCCAAAAAGTAACCAAGTAACCAGCTGTCATTCGCAAGCCTCCTGGGATACAGCTAAGGCTAGAGGTGTGTGTGTGTGTGTGTGTGTGTGTGTGTGTGTGTGTGTGTGTGTG